GAGAGAGAGAGAGAGACGGTACATCCATAAATCTTCTCCCTGTCAATCGTCACGTACCGACGATGATTTAGTAATGGTATGTGCTACGAATATTATTTGAAACATTTATTTTTACAATTAATAATTTTCACACACTCGTTTCGATGGATCATCGAATATTAATATTTATACCTATTTATAGTAGCCATGGTGCTTCCCTATTATTCACAATCATGCGTAAAGTGTTCATGTTCCTAAGCCGTTTATACCGTTTACTTTTTGATTGGCGTGTAAGAGTAGGTATCATCCGTCTAACGTATCGTACATTCAATATTAACTTTGTCCTCGCGATCTGCGCGACGAAGATTGATGAAGAGATTGAAACGTCATTAATGACTCGTTTGTCAGCTCGCCAAGTATGTCTCTCACTCCTTGGCTCGCTTTTAAAAGGTACAGGCTATGTGGAAAAACGCGCTTAGGAAGTGAATTGGCTGGTCAGTGACTCTCGGCTTTTTTTTCCCCGGGGCTTTTTTTACGGGCATGCAACAGGTTTCTACATCTACATCGAAGAGTAGGTGGGAAGAAAAATACCGCATTTTTCACCGTGCCACGGGCAGAAAGGCGCGGACGGCGCCGACTACTGCACAAATTAGTGGCAGCTAACGCGTAAACATTTTCCATGCAAATGCGCGATGTTATTTATTGCACGGTCTTAAGAAAATTTCCGTTTGTTTCAAAATACGAATATTTAAGCGACCCTCCTGCCCCCGTACCGTGTAATAATGATAGAGTAATGTAGCCTCTCGATCGTTTAATCGCCTCGATCGATCGGCGATTCGAGAGGCAGACTTCAGCTGCCGTTGCGTTTTTATTGCGTTTTTTTTTCTCCTCTCCACGGCTCGCCGTTCGTCTCGAGTGGACTCGATTCTAATTCCCACAAGCGATTGGCTCAATTTAACTTTTATTAATATCGACATTCTTCCCCAATCCTTTTTACCCCGGGCACTTGTTCCTGCTGCTCTCTCGTTCTATCTCTTCACCTCTCTCTTTCTTTCTCTCCTCCCCCCTGTCTCTCTCGCTCTCTCTCTCCTTCTCTCTCGCCTACCTCTTCCTCTCAGTCGTTCTACGGGATTCATCTTTTATTCAGTCGCGTGATTCATCGGAGAATTTCATCGTGTTCGATTTAATAAAAATAACTCGAGCGAGCAAAATTAGATTCTACAATCTTTTATCGCGTGCTGGCATTTGAAACTTCCTAGCATAAAAACAAAACGTCATCGCCGAAATGCATTTTCAAGCGCATCTTTTTTTTTATTGGGAAAGATAAATGGAGGCTATCTTGTGCGCGATACGCGATAAAAGTTAGATTTTAAAATAACAGCATCCTGAAAGTTTGTTGTTAAAGAATTCCCGGAGGATTTTCCACCTAGGAATAAGTGCAATGAGAGAAAAACCACCTTTGTATTTGCATTTATTTTCACATACGAGGTGAAATACATTGCCATTATTCGTATTAACTTATTTATAACAAGAATCCATTTCCGCGTAATATAACTTTGCAAACTGTACTGTGCAAATTCTCTTCCTTTATAAAATATAAATATAATGAACGTAATTTTCGAATCAGATTGATAATCGCAAATCATTTCGAAATAATTGACTAAAACATTTGCCACCGTGACAAAGTGTTTCTATATATAAGAAACCACTAGACTTCTCCCGATACTTCATCGTCGTTACAGTCGATATATTAATATGTTTTTAATTGTAGTACGACAGAGAGAGGAAACATACGGTCTCGGTTTCTTCACGAATGGCTAAGTCTTTCCTTTTTTTTTCTTTTTTTCTTTTTTTTTAACGTTACACAAACATGTTGAAACAAAGTATTCTTCCTTTATTCGATGAAAGTATTTAATTATGCAATAACAACGGCGTTGTCCATGAAGAAAGAAAAAAAAGAATAGGAATTCGCTATTGGAATTTTTATGAAGGGACACTTGGCTTTTCCCTCCTCCGCCCGAGACCGTATGTTTTCTGTCGCGCTACAATTAAAAACGTATTAATACCCCAGGTATAACAGCGTCGGCATCGGGGGGGAAGTCTAGTGGTTTCTTATTGTCGACACTTAATTGCCGGTTGAAACATTTATTTGTAGAACGATGAGCTCGCCCACGTGCACGCTCGCACATACGTAATATTCGCCTTTTTTGTGCGCTTGACGTTACCGGAAGCAGCGGCGGTAGGAACAAACGCGGCGAGAAGGGTTACAAAGTGAGCACACCTTCTCTCTTTCTCCCGTTCATAAAAGGGAAATAATGACACAGAACGAACGACTCCGGGCGGTCATTCGTTTCCATGAAAACAGTCAGTTTTCCCGCACTATTATGCGATAAACGTTGCTCTGACGTTGCGCGACGTCGAGCATTCTCGTGCGATAATAAAAAAATAAAAGGACATTGTGGTAATACACACACCACACACACACACACACACACACACACACACACACACACACACACACACACACACACACACACACACACACACACACACACACACACACACACACCACGCGCGCGCGCACACACACACACACACACACACACACTACTATATATATATATATATATAT